CATTTGAGCTGTGGTCAGTTAACGTACCATGAGAATAGTGGACGTGGAGCTCGAAATCCGCCATGTTTTTGCGGACACTTTTCATTTGCGAGCACGGTCTCCAGATATATATAGTAGAGCTCAGTGTTCCCGGTCTTTTTGTTCCGGTAGTGTCGGTTTTCGTTCCCGGGGTATTTCACTATTTCTTATTTTCGTTTCCAGCTCTGAAAATGGCTGGAGATGTTTTTTAACTTTCTTGTTTTTTGAGACGTTATTTAAGTTTGAGATGGCGCCAACGCCACCTGAAAACGACGTTGAGAACACTAGTAAAAAGACAGGGAAACGAGGGGGAGAAGATGGATGCGAGAACATGGCCAACAGGCCTACCAACTTATATGGCAATGCGCATGATGTTGGGTTTCGTGCTGGAAGCGTCCGAAGCGACCATCACCAAGAAGGTTGTAACACTTGTTATTTTGAGCTTAAAAAAAGGAATAATAGTAAAAAAGTATTGTAATATTTTGATACCATCGTATACAGTCATCAAGTAATTTTCTTGACTAAGTATTTCCGTTTTCCTATAAACAAATTGTTCACACTCCCCCGACTTCGTGTTGTCAGTGGCTGATGCAATATTTAGTGCGTAGCTAGAAAATGAAGAAATGTATCAATCAAGTTAATTGTAACATCATTAGAATCTATAAAACATTTTATTTACTGTATAAATGGACAAAAAAGGCTATCTCATACAACTACTTGATATTTATGTGATTTTTACCTGAATTTTTTTACAATGAAGTCGAAGTGACTTGACAGTAATGACAGGCAGCAGTTGTTAATTTAAAAGTTGAATTTGTATAATATAAACTGATCCGAAACCCTTCCCTAACTCTTTTAATGTTCCCTTTACAGCTTTATAGACATATTTAGGGCTACATAAAATAAATTCCTTGATTCTCATCACTAGACTTTGAAAATGTTGAAGAGCCGGGAGGTTTATATTTTATATTTATATAATTTATCATCAATAAATAAAAAACTGATAATTCCTAACATTTAAAGTGCTTATGAAACGAAATTTTTACCTCATTTTTTATTGTTTGGCTAAAAAGTACTGCTAGAGCGATGAAGAATGACGTTTACAGTTTCTTCATATCTCATCTCATTCTCAAGTTATCGCACTTTCTAAATTTCGAGTTGTGACGTCACTAGTTTGACTTGAGATAATGGCAATAACAAGAAAGTCTAGTATCTTATTGAGTATTTAATAAAATTCAATGAAACTCGGTACACTTAGTGGGTGCACTCATATGAATAGTTTTGGGAGGTTATGTGGTTGTCATGGCAACACACTAGTCCCCAGTCTCTTCTCTTCTTTTTCACAAATTTCCCCTGTAGACCTCTTGCAGAGGATGTTTGCATGTTATAATGGTTTAAAGTGATCACAATACCGATACGTATGATAGTAATAAGAAACAATTGCAGAAATTACCATTTATTTCGTTGGAAATGGATCATATAGAAATTGGAAGAGAAGGGACTGGGGACGAGTGTGTTGCCATAACAACCACATAAACAAGCCAAATTGTTCAGTTCGTTGCACTTACTAAGTGTGCCAAGTTTCATTGAATTTTATTAAATAATCATCAAGATATCAGATTTTCTTGTTATTGCCACTATTTTGAGTCAAACTAGTGACGTCACAACTCAAAATATAGAAATTGCGATAACTTGGGAATGAGATAGGAAGAACCTGTAAACGTCATTCTGCATCATTTAAGCAATACCTTTTAATAAGGCAATAAAAAATGAGGCGAAAATTTCGTTTCATAAGCACTTTAACATTTCTGTGATTTCCAAAGTGAAGTGTGAAAAACCAAAATGAACATATTTCTCCACGAACAATGACTG